ACTACCCAGTGTCTCATGCATGTTGAATACTTTGCACCTTTCAGACCCAAAACCCACACATGTGAAATTGAACTATGAAAATTAAGACACAAATGTAGAGATCACTTTCAAAATCATAGCCATATCCAAGGTCACAGAGCATAAGAAACAAAACTAGCATGGGGCCTTCCCAGTAAAACCTAATGATGCCATTAATTGGCAATGAGGCAATACTTTAACATATGTTACCACTTTTCCAAGTGATTACTGAAAAAACTATGGTAACCAACTATTTTTTGAAATTGTCTTTTCTATTCACTGCAATTACATGGCCATTATAGGCCTGGACAGCATAGAGTTTTCTTGATCAAATGAAATCATTTGAATCAGACAGAAAGGTTGTGGCATTTTTTATGTTAATATTGAAACTATTGCTAAAGAAATAGCCTTGTGCCTTCTTGCATGTATAAAAATATCCCATCAAATGGCAACACAAGATTCATAACAGCATTGCCACCAAAAATTAGGGAAGTAAAACAGACTTTGATTAGAAATCCTCTACCTCTTGTGCTTCTAAAATACTCAGCAGTTCTTACAGTACAGAGGAGCTTTAAATGCTTTACCAGCAGCACACATTCAGAATTAATGAGTGACACCTTAGATCAGTGCTTGAGACATTTAATCTACAAAGAAACTACTGCTAAAAAACACTGATCTTTTTGTATTCTTAAGCCAGGAAAGTCACTATGTCAACTGAGAATGCAACTACAGGCATGAATAGTACAACACAAAATAAGAGTAGCAGACATAAATATAAAACAATATTGGAATGCTACTGTAGTAAGCAAGTTAATTTTAAATAATTCAGTCAAAACCACAAGGGGAATAACTATCTCATCAAGAAGGAGTTCTGTTCACCATGCCAATAAAAGGGACAAATAAAATGGATCTATTAAAAAAAAATATTAAATCATCCAGCAGAGCAAGTATGTACATCTGGGTATACCAGTTACTTGTGATGCTTTTAAGCTGAAGATTAATCTCATTTTTTAAAAGACAAAGGGCCTTGTACAGGTAATATGTCTATACTTTATAAGCAGACTTTCACAAAACTGGATTTAGTTTATGTTCATTCAAAATTGACAATAAGCCTGAACATGGTGCATTGTTCTCAGTGAAAGCCCATAAGGAATGATTCAGTTTAACAGACTGCCCTCAGGAACAGCATAAATTCCAGCTGTTTAATAAGTGCTACAAGAAAAGCTTAATAGGAAACCAATGTTATGTGTATAAAAATCTGTAGGCAAAAAAAGTGGTTCTGGCCAACAAAGTCTTTTTTATGACAAATCCAGAAGTCTTTATACATTTGTGTACCTAAGAAGATGGGAAATCAATAGTATGATAGAATCATACAATCACCAAGGTTGGAAAAGATCTTCAAGATCATCCTGTCCAACCATCTGCCTATCACCAATAGTTCTCACTAAACCACCTCCCTCAACACAACACCTAAACGTTCCCTGAACACCTCCAGGGTCAGCGACTCCACCACCTCCCCGGGCAGCCCATTCCAGCACCTGACCACTCTTTCAGAGAAGTAGAATTTCCTAATGCCCAGCCTGAATCTCCCCTCATGCAACATGAGGCCATTCCCTTCAGTCCTACCACCTACATGAGAGAAGAGGCTGATCTCCATCTCACTACAATCTCCCTTCAGGCAGTTACAGAAGGCGACAAGCTCTCCCCTGAACCTCCTCTTTTCCGGACTGAACAATCCCAGCTCTCTCAGCCTCTCCTCATAAGACTTGTGCTCCAGACCCTTCACCAGCTCTGTTGCCTTTCACTGGACATCGAACCATACAATGGCTTGGGTTGGACTTCAAAGATCATCCAGTTCCAATCCCCACACTTCAGACAGGGCTGATACTCACCAGATCAGACTGCTTTGGGAATGCTTTGGGCCCCATCCAACCTGGCCTTGAACATCTTCAGGGATAGAGCATCCACAACCTCTCTGGGCAACCTGTTCCAGCACCTCACCACTCTCTCAACAAAAAACTTCCCTCTGACATCTAATCAAATATTCCTTCCTTTAGTTTAAAACCATTTCCCCTTGTCCTGTATGGTCTTGCATAACAGCAGGCCTTAGAGAGAGATGAGAGGCCTTTAGGTGACATTTTTCATGCTTAATGATCCTGTTTTTCCTCTAAAATTGCTTTCAGAGGCAGGTATGTCAAATAATCTCTCTTTCAAATCTTGAATATAAAATCTGTTTTCAGCCTGTTAACATTAGCTAGAACACTTAGGTGTGTTTCTTGCGATTCACTGGTTTATCATTTTTTTCATTACATCTTCTTAAGTGGTGTAATTATCCAGAATACCAGAATTTTTTTGTCTTGAGCTGGAGACCACAGATATACCCAGAGGAGAATATCCTATTCTATGTAGGAATCATCAAAGAATCAAGAATCATCATGCACTTATCATCACCTAAACAACAACTTAAAGGTAATGGATACATCCAGGCAGATAAAAAGACCCTTAGGTTTCCAGATCTTGACACTGCTCTCATTGTTCCCTTCTCACAGCACAGTTTTAGGCAAATTATTTTTCATTTCTCTGCCAGATGCTTATCCATGAGCAATCAATATCCGCAGTAATGGATTTTTTGAGAATATGATCCTGAGGCCCTTAAGTCAGTGCATTCTTTAGTTTTTTTCACCATTCTAATTGCTTGCAAGGTGAAGCTCCAAAAGATCTTTGAAATTTTCTGCTACTGAAACACAGTATGATTTCTGTTCTGCCAGCAATAAGGGAAAAGGGGTTTTCTCTCTAACCATTGTCTACAGTTATTTAATTCTCCATTACAATCCATCAGTACAGCAAGAGCATTTTTTTGTCAAGAAACTACACCCCACTGTGAGAAGTGCTATCCAGATGTGCTCCAGTTAAACATATCAGGGTATTTAAAGAGGTACCTAAATAAAAATTTAAAAGCCAAACTTCAAGATATGGGCTTTAGATAAACAATTTAATAGCCCCTAGCAAAACTTCAATGTGTCAAATAACAGAGAGTAAGTGGCAGACACCTTCAGCTTCATTCAAAAGCATCCCCCACGAACAATACAAGCTGGGGGATGAAAGGATTGAGCACAGCCCTGCTGAAAAGGACCTGAGGATACTGGTGGATGGCAAACTGAATGTGAACCAGCACACAGCACAGAAAGGCAGCCATATCCCAGGCTGCATCAAAAGAGTAGCCAGGAGGTCAGGTTAGGTGATACTGACCCTCTACTCCGTGCTGGTGAGATCTCACCTGAAATACTGTGTCCAGATGTAGAGTATTCATTAGAGGAGATACGTGAACCTATTGGAGTACATCCGGAGGAAGGCCACAAATATGATCCCAGAGATGTGACACCTCCCCTACGCAGACAGGCTGAGAGAGCTGGGGCTGTTCAGTCAGGAGAAGAGAAAGCTCCAAGGTGATCTGATAGTGGCCTTCCAGTATCTAAAGGGGGGCTGTAAGGAAGAGGGTACTCTTTAGCAAAGTCTGATGTGACAGGACAGGGAGGAATGGTTTCAAACTAAAATAGGGGAGACTTAGACTTCAGAGATTTAGAAAAGTTTTTTACAGTAAGGTTGGTGAGGCACTGGAACATGTTGTCCAGGGAGGTGGTGGATGCCCTGTCCCTGGAAATATTCAAAGTCTGGCTGGACAGGGCTCTGAGCAACCTCATCCAGCTGTAAGTGTTCCTGTTCTTCACAGGGAGTTGGAATAGGTGACCTTTAAGGGTCCCTTAAAACTCAAACAATTCTATGACTCTATGATCTGCAGACCTGAAAACTGTGCATCCCCATCTAGCCCCCTCCAGGCATTCAGATGGGCAGTGGGGTGGCAAGAGTTTAGGAGCAACAGACTCACTAGCTAACAGTGCCCGTGTACAGTCCCAGGAAGACATATAGATGGAAGTCCAAATCCTGTGTCATCTCACAGGTGGTCTTGTACTGCAGGGAAGCCTGGGACATTGCTGGCTGAAGATACACCTCTGGAGAGCTGTCATTGCTGCTGTCCCTGGCAAGCAGGAGGGAAGGGCTATCTTGGAGATAAGATACAAATGTACATGACCAGTTTTGAGCCACCTATTTGCACACAAACACAGCTTGCAATCTTATCTGCACTGGCACTTGCAGCTGAGAGCTTCTATCCATTTCAGACAGAAAGCTAAATCTTTCCCATCTTTATGCTCACTGTACCTTCACAGTCTCTAGGATGTTGGCTTGCCCCTGCAGCAATGACAAATATATTTGGGATATTTGAAAGGAAGAGACATCAAGGAAAAGACACCACTCAGCTTGAATATGGAGCAAAACTGAAATAAGAGACTGCAATATGTACTCAATTAGTGGTTGTCTGCCTTTACTTTCCTTCTTACTTTCTTGGACATTGTTGATGTATTTTTAAATGGACTCATCTCCCGCATTGCCTTGCCAACTCTCTCTTAGCAGGAGCACAGAGCTTCTCTGCAAGGTAAGGGAGAAGATGTTCAGCAGTGCCTGTCTACTGAAAGAAATAAATCAGGGTCCCTGAGAGTAGAAGCAAAAGTGAATGAAATACCAGATGGTGGAAAAGAAATTGAGGGAAAGACTGAATATTTTTAAGAAGTAGTGAAGAACTTGTTCTTCTGCCCAAAATTTTTTCTTCAGATATTGCTCAAATGGTTAAGGAGAACCAAAGTCCTGAGATATTCTTTCACCTGATGCATGTGAGTCAGTCAATATATTTGGCTTTTTCTGCCCTATTTATCTTTTTCCACTCTACTCATGTGCTTACAGATGTCTTCCTTATAGTTCATCACCAGATCACCAATGTTGGAAAAGACCTCCAAGATCATCTAGTCCATGTATGGAAATTTAAAAATATCTACAAGAAAAATCAAGCACTGTAAAACTGAGACATGCAAGAACAATTGATGCACAAGAAGTCTTAAAGCAGGCTATTTTTTATATTTATATTTTTTATTTATTTGTGCATTAGGATGTGGTTTTTAAGTACATGCTCCTTTCCTATGTCTTCCACTGGGTGCTGGCCTTGCCTAGTGAAGACCTCTTTCTACTCGCAGCATGCAATCAGTGGCTCGCGGGCCTTATTTAAACCACAAATCCAAACTGAATATTTTATCATTTATTCCTACAGTTCTGCAAAGTCTGAATACATGCATCTCCACAACACTTCTACAAGGAAAGATGATTGCACCTTTCTTCCAGCAGGAAAATGAAAGCACAGAGATAAAGGTCACAGCTTTCTGGGTTTCCCCAGTGCCACACAGGCTCCTGGCCTCTCGTTTTTTTTTGCTCACACACTTTCTCTCTTTATCTGCATAATTTGAGCAAGGAGGTAGACAACATAGAAAGACTGAGGAATCTGTAGTGAAAAAAATTATACAAAAGAAAAAATAGAGTTAAGTGACATACACCAGTGCACCAAAACCTATCAAGCCTTCTACCCCAGCTACAGCATTGCACCCCTGCCACTGCCTCCCAGTTCCTCTACCCATGCTGTTCTCATTGATTTCCAGTTCCAAATTCTGTGAAGTGTTAGAGCTTCTTGTCACAAATTTTAACATTACAGAATGACACATCTTCCCCTGAACTCAGAATCAGCCAAAGCATTTTGGCTGAAACTTGTCAGATAGGGGGAAAAAAAAAAGCAACTATTCCTTGGGGGTGATGCAGTAGAGATTTTAGCTGGAACTGCTAGTCTAACAAATATGCCTCTGACAGAAAATGTGTTCTACAAATACACGAAAATGATGTTGAGTGGAGACTGTTGTGGCTTTAAAACCAAGTATCAAGAAATTAGGAAATACCAGAGTTACGTAAGTGTGTGAAATCTTAAGTCAGCCCCACTGCAAATATGTTTGGAAGTGCCTTTTCTTTGGCTGGTTTAATGCTCTCCTTTAAGGAAAATGTAGAGGTGCATGAACAATCAGGCCATCTTGTTTACTGCAGTACAGGAGGCTGCACGAAGCATTTCACTTTAAAACAAGGTCTTTGGATTTTATCATCGTTTGCCGCCTGCCTTCACTTCAGCCAGCTCGTTTCGTCCTTCGGTGATTCCTATTGACAGCTGCACTTACAGAGCCCTCTGTGCTCTGCTCACTGGGGAAGCCGCAGGGACACCGGCTGCCATCCAGAGCCACTCACGCTCTGCGGCTCGGTGCCCGGCCGGGCAGCAGGAAGGCTAAAATGCAACTCACATGGCTTTGCGCATTTCACATGTTATAAAAGCTTCTCCAAGAGCTTTTCCAGCTCTGCCACCTTTGAAATGAACTGTTTCATTTTTCGAGCATTGGAGGTATTATCTTTAAGAGTAAACACTGGAGAAACCACAGCAGATTGCCTGCCAATTGCCTGCCGCTATTGATTCTGGAAGGACTGCTGACTGAAGTGCAACACACCAACAGGGCAACAGCAATTTAATGTTCATTAGTGTTCAGAACAGTTTCTCAGTGAGAAGATTAAGAGGTCAGGAAATCCACTGAATTTCTTCTCTTTGTTAGATTGAAGGTAACAAAATGTTTGCAACATTTCGTTTTTCAGATTCTTGAGAAGACTTGCTTACGATGGGAGATAAGACAACCCCTTCAAGAATCACAAATTATTTTAAAGGATGATTTAAAAATAAAATGCTGCGCTGCAAGGGTGAATCTTGATAATGCAGCATTACAGTATCTCTCAGAGGAAACAAAAGAAAAGGTGCCGTGCTTCTACAGCTCAGAAATTGCTTTATTATCTGACTCACACTTGGAGCAGAACAGTCTCCAGTCTTGGCATCTATCACAAAGCATCACAAGAACAGCACCTAGGTACAATTTAAAAATTACAATGGAAAGAGGCTATTATTTCCACTTTGTAGGAGTATTCTAGAAGGCAGCTCTCTGCTACCTAGAGTAGCTATTTTCCCCTCAGTCTCTCAATCTCTGTCTGTTTGGAACTCATTAGAAAGTAATTTCTTTTTGTCCAAATATTTTTGCCTTCCTAGAGTCAAAAAGAACAGGACTGAAAGAAATTCAGCAAGTTTTTTTTTTTCTTTTCCTTTTGGTTTCCCTACTGATACATTTGCTAACACAGTAATTAAAAGCAAATTGCACTCCTCTCAAGCAACTGAAGTAATTATGGGCCATGTCTAATATTGGTTGCCAAAACAACTAACAACTCTCAAACTGTCTCATACAGCACTTTCTCCCCTATGGATCAGGCACAGCAGTTTCTTTCCTTTTCCAAAGAAAAATGCTCAAATGCCATCCTCAAAACAGGACAGGTAAAGAGGACTTTTTGATCTAGTTCAACACTACAGATCAAACCTTCACTGATGGCAGAAGGTACAATGGCTCAGAGCATGTGGACAAGCCAGAAAAGAAAGCAGCAGGAGAACCAAGCCTTGAACTCCATAGCAAACTGCCTTCTCACTATATTTAGCCTTGTTCCTTGCCTTCACATTCCTGATCTCCAAGTATATCTTCTTTATAATCTCCATCCTCCTACAGTATTTCCCCTGCTTAGTTTGTCAGCATCAACCAGATGGAATCTTACTGAGCTTCTACACACTTTCTTTTCTAAGGAAGCCACAATTCCTGTCAGATACCCTCTATTGCTACTAGGTAGGAGAGATGGACCCGTGGAGAAACAGGAGACATTTGTGGTTATCAGAAGATGCGAGTTTGACCCAACACATACACAAACTAAACGAATAGAAACATCCTTTCCAGGACAATGAAGAACCTCCTCTTGTCTCTCGTGCTTGTCACATTAAAAAGCTGCTTTTCTGTTTTCCTTAGCGACTTTTAACCTAAGCCCTAAGGATCATGTCATTTGCTTCCTTACAGCAGGCACAAGACATTATCCAACTCATGCAATAAGCACTGCCCAATGCACCCAATTTTGGCTGCTCTCATTAAATGTTCTACAAAGCTTTTCACTTGGATGTCCAAGAAAAGACTTAAGTGTCCTACAGTTCTTGCTAAACAAAGCAACTGCACTTCAGGACCTTAGCTCTCTTTTCAAATCCCTTCTGCACACAGATGCTGCAGGACTGAAGTATTTCACAGTTCTCGGCTAAAAAATGATGGTATTTCTGATGCAACCACATATCTATTAGAAAGTAGCCCAAGAATAATGAGGAAAATGATTAGGAATTAAGGAAAAAAAAACATTTTTGCGCTACTCTTCTTCTATTTTTTAAGTAGAAAAATTGCTGAAGAGCATCTACCTGTGTTCTGGGTTTCTTCCATAAAAATGAGCTGTGAAGAATTATTCTGGCTTAGCTTTTCTTCAACAATGCACTGCTTCAGCTTAAAGTGGAAAAAGTAAAGTTGTTTCTCTGAAATATGCCTGGAGAGACATGAAACGAAATCAAACAAACCACTGGGATTTTTATTATATTATGCATTTGCTATGTTGGTATCACTACTGTTATAACATTCGAGCCAGTCCTTGTCTCATTGAAGGTCAGAGAATTTTGCCACTGATTGCAGAAACAGAAAGAAACATTCTTGCTCTTCTGTATTGTCATTTTCCTGATCAATATCAACAATGTTCTTCAGAAACAGCTTGATATCACTTGCAAGGCATGGAATTTGTGGTGCTTGGTTTACTAATTTATCTAGAAATAAGTTTTGCTATAACTGAGTTTTTAAAATGGCTGTAGCATTAAAGCTTAGACCTTCAGAGAACTCTCTTGGTCTATAAAGCAGAGTTCTAACGTCTTCTCTATTACCATTATGATTAAGCTAAAACTGCAGATGACAGCCAAGAACACTCTCCAGTAACAAACAGAATCTAGGAAGAAGATTGTTCAAAAGAAAATCCTACGTAACCAACACAGAATGAAAAAAAAGGAGAAGTATCATAAAACAAACACAAAATATGAGATTCTTCAGATCTGTCTTCTTCTCCCATCTCCACTGCTGTCAATAAACCCCTTTATTACAGAACTTTCACCAAAAGAGCTTGCTCAAGCATAGATGCTACTGGGCAATTTACTTTGATGTTCTTGTAGAACCATTTGTGCCTAAGGAACAAAATAACGACAGCAGCTCTCCTATTCAGATCAACATTTTACATACAGTAGCCAAATCTTCTAAAACCACCTATGTGTCAGATTTGGGATGTTTCATCCTAAACGCTAAAGCCTACTGCTTGCTGACTGTAATGGCGCCGATGGCTACTTCCCATTTGTTATATTTCTCTATTATTCCTCTGGCAAAAGGACATATGGTCATGCACACACACTTATTTAAAGTTTCTGCCAAAGGGGCAGAGGCATATATGAGGCAGTATATGTAGTGGGTAATTCGCAGACATGAGACTCTGCTGTCAGTTGCAAGCTTTCCGTGTTCATAAGGATTTCATTTGTTTTACATCTCCTGTCCTAAGTGCGCATTATTCACTGTTTCAAGACCCATCTTTGCTCTTCAGGAAAATTTAGTGGAATTCTTCAATTTATTTGGCTCCAGAGTCAAATTTATGTTATCTGTTTTGCCAGACAGCAAAAGCAGAGTCTCATACAAGCATTTAAATCAATCAGATCATAAGATCTAGGTCCTGGGGAGTCGCTCATTAGAAAAAATTTATTATCAAAATACAAAAATACTTTTCTGCAGAAATAAATCTGTTTCTGGAGCACATATATCAGCGAAGACAGGCAGATCAGGTAGCAATGGTATCAAGTGAGTAAATGTGTTAAATTAATATTTGTGCTTTCCTCTGAAGAAAAAAGAAACAAAAACAAAACAACAATAGAACAAATTCTTCGTAATGCTCACTATTATTTTTTGTCTGTTTTCACCTCCCTTACTGTTACTGCAGTCCTCAGAGATATGAAGCATCTGCAAAAACCCATAATTACGTCCCACCCAGTTGTTTTTTTTTTTCAATCCCCACATTTTAAAAGCCTTTAGAGATGAATTAAGAGGCTGCTGTAACTCAGGAGTCTGAGAACCCCACAGTTCCCATCTATGACCACAGTGCTCATTGAAACTCTCTGAATGCACCCTGCTAAAAATTTACCCTATTGTTTCCAGACCACTTTTAAACGCCAACATCAGCAGCAGAAGGACAGACATTCCTCTGCCTCAGCATCACCCTTGCTTGGGTCTGCGGGGGACCCGGGAAGAGCAGTAGGGCAGGTAAGGGTAAGTACACAGCAATGAGAACTGCAGCAGGCAGTGTGGAGGACAGCTGCTCAACAGGGCTTTGGAACTTGCACTCAGCCCAGGCTTTTTCTGACTCTCCAGATTGCACTCCTTCTCCACATTCCAGTGCACAAGAGATGAAAGTCATCCCAATGCAGAGAGTTAGTAACACTCCTGAAATATTATTAAGGGACTTTAAGCAGCTAGCATGCTCAGCATGGCTCTCTGCAGAGACTAATTTCTACTGTCTTTAGTGTAACTGATTGCAAAACAGCAGAATGTGGCAGTGCCTCACAAATCAGTGGGAGGAACAGCTTTGAATCTTCATCCTGGCTTTCCACCATACAAGTCCTCAAAGGCTTTTGAAAGTTTTGCTGCTTTTGCTCACCATCATAGCCTCGTGCTGATAGCAGTACTGAAAGGGAACTGCCTGCAAGCAGTTCCCTAGAGCATGTGTATGCCCTTTGTTTTCAAATCCAGTCTCACCTACACACGATTTTCCCTTTAAGCATGATATACCCTCTAGACCACATTTGAGGGTGTTGCAGTAATACCTAGAGATCAGAATGACTGTGTGTTTTGAATGATTTCAGCAAGATTGAGTATTTGATGTAAATGCAAACCTCCCAAGCCTGTGCACATAACAGTTGTTCTGAATCTAAGCAACAGTAGACCTAACATTTAGAAGCAACCAGCAGAAATATAGTTCACTTTGTTACAGCCTATTCTCAAGCCATTCTTAACTTCGCAAAGCATACAAGGACAATGACCAGAGTCCTAAACACTACACGCATAAAGCTCCACACATGCGTATCTACTGGCATTAGCATTACCTTTCACTCTACCCCTCCCATAGCAATAAAAGACTCTACAGCAAAGATAAGCTTGAGCTGTAAGAAGTGCAGTGAAAAGCTAATAGGACTGTTAGAAGAAATCTCCAAAAGAACTTGGCATACACACCAGCACAATGAAGACTGGGCAGAGATACAAGAGCTTGATGAATAAAGCATGAATAAACATCAGCAATTATGCATCTAATAAAGCAGCAAGGCTGTAATGGCCCAAGAACAAAAGGATATAAAACAAGCCTGACTACCTCAGACTGTAAATTAAGAGAAGGTTTCAAACTCTCTCAGTGGTGTAATTCTGAAAGAGCTTTTAAAAAGAAAAGTGCAAGCAGCACACAATGCCCAACAAGAGCTGGGACTAAGAAATGTGTCACTACCTGTGGCACATGGGTCGTGTGAAGTTATTCACTGCAGTCTGCTCCATGTAGTAGACTAAACATCTCCAACAGAACACTAGACAGCTATTTGCTCTGCCAAGCATCGCTGACCAAATTGTTGATGGTCCAGGCCAGGCTGAATGGGGCTCTGAGCAGCCTGGTTTAGTGATTGGCAACACTGCCCATGGCAGGTGGATTGAAACTAGATGATCTTTTCAACCCAGGCCATTCTGTGATTCTATGACAGGAGCAATGGACAACTTCAGGATTGAGAGCATCAAGGTCCAAAAGATGGAAGCTTTACTAAAAGTATCAGGCATTCTGACATGAAAATGCAGATGAAGCAAAGGTGTGGAACTGAATTCCTCCATGCAGAAAAAATGGCACCCATTGACATCCATCAGCACTTACTGAACATTTATAGAGACCAAACAGTGGATGTGAGTATAGTGAGATGGTAGGTGGCGTGTTTCAGCAGTGGTGACAGTGGCAGTGTGTTAACTCCACTAGCATGGCCCACAGGCTCCTGTTTATCACTGGCAAAAATGCACAGCTAATGGTGGTGACTATGTTGAAAAATAGAGAAAATTTTCAGCTACAAAGCACTATCAAATAACATTATCATGCTCTTTGTATATGTTGTAGCTTTCATGAAAATAAATACAAGGTATTACTTTCAGAGTTACATAGTTTACAACCCTTTTCCATTTTGGATATACTTAAACTGCATAATTAGCACTAAGTCTGTCAACATATGTGCCAGTCAATTGATTTAGCTTCAAAACATAATTACTTTTCTTATGCTGTTGAGGAAAGAAAACAAGCAATACATTCGTTATGGTTCTTAATTAAAATACATCTGTGAAGGTACACTGTTTTTGATATTGGACTCAATCCAGTCTTAGCATAAACTAGGTGTGCCACTAGGGCTGGATTTGGCCAACAATTAATATTTTAATCATAACTTGTTTAACCTAACCTATATCACTGAACATGGCAACAGTTCAGCAACAGAATGATGTTTTAAATCCATGTGTTCAGAGCAAGCCTGGTCAGATCATTGATGTTTGGTCATCATCTGGGTCTAACAGCAATGGTATGTTGCAGAAGAAAATAGTTTACCTCCTAACAATCTCTTAGATCACTTTAACAAAAATCACTCAAGGCAATGAGCAACACAATGTTTTTAATATGCAGATGGACAAGGAGGTTTTCAGTGTGAAGTTATCCATTTTCTAGATGCTTACCTATGGATAAGAAACAGAGCATTCCTTCCAGATTTATATCATTGTAACTGAGCACAGAATATGGACAGTAAAGTAAGACAGTAAAGTAAGCCAATTGGGTATCATAAATAATTGGATAAATGCATAAGGTGAAGATGTATTTGACGATAGAAAACTGGATGAAGTGTATATGGAAGAGGCAAACTGAAAAGGAGTGGAAAACAGAAAACTCAGAATATTAAGAATATATTAGGAAGAATGAAGAGAAGACCAACAAAACTGACCAACACGTGAAATGCACTGAAAGGGTAAATAAAGCCCAGAAATCATAAAGTGGTACTAGGACCTAGAGAAAAAAGTAGCCATCTTAGGAGAGGTCTTCCTGGCAATAGTTCAGCAGAACATAACTTGGCAGGCATGGCAGGAGAAGAAGAAAAGCTGAACACTCCATGAGCAGAGGCAGAAGACACTGGTTCTCCCACTTGTGTGGCATACAGATTTCTCAGTGGGTAATCAACAACCACAAGTTAGGAGAGGCTCCTTCCCTAACTGAGCCCATAAATTCAAAAGTGCTGTACCATACCTCAGAAGTGAGGTTTCCAGGATGCTAGTCACACGTCTCACTCCAAACCTGCACCAGTGATTAAAGCAGTGAGGCAGAAACAATATCATTCACTCATTTAAGACGCAGGAGCTCATGTTGGAGGAGCTGAGCTAAGGTCCCTGGCCAGCTCGGTGTCTGACCCTCTCGTGTAATCACCTTTGTCTTGGAATGGACAACAACGGAGAAGATCTGCGCAACAAACCCATTCAAGTGAGTCTGAGTTTGTTAAGCCTGGAGGTGACACACACACACACACACACACACACACACACACACTACTTTCATGCTTGTTTGAGAGAGAGCGCAAATTCTGGTGGTCCCTTGTGGTTACAGCGATACCCAGGTCAAAGAGGAGATTAGATAGCACAGCCTGTTCCTTCATGATTTATAGACAAAGCACTTTGTGCTGGTGCAGGGAGGAGGCATCTCTGCACCACACATTGTGATGCACCAGCACGAGCTGGAGTAGAGATTGGCAAGGGGAAAGGAGAAAGCTATTATTTCTGAGATTGTACTGTTCTGGGACTACAGCTACTCTGCAAATTGAATTCATATTGGTAATATGTAGTAAGAAAACTATTTTTCAGAAAGAAAACTTCCAGTCTGTTCCCAGCTGTGTTGAGAACAGTACCATATTTCAGAACAAACAGTATTAATTTCCCTTCCTCTGACTTAGATTAAAATAGGATTTAATTCTATAACCAAAACAAATACCATTAATAACTCTGGCTTATTCCTGGACACAATACACAATAAAAATGTAATATCTGTTTTTTGTGTTTTCATTCTGTCTGTAACATAGGTACATTTGGGAAATGGAGTCAAAACATCTTATCACAGTGATCAAAAATAAAGCAATGCAGATATTACATAAATGGCAAGGAAGAGGAAGAAAAAAAAAGGAAAATAAAAAAACAGCTTATTTAAACAGCTGCCTTCCTTGTAAAGGTACCATTTCCAAGGCTTGACCTAGTGGAAAAACTTCCTCTTGTCCTGGGAGACCGTGAAGGCCATTGTAGGAAACAAGTTTAAAGGAAATACACAAAGAGAAGAAACTAAGGTCTCATCATTGTCTGTTCCTTTCATAATAAGGTGATTGGCATGATGAGAACACGACAGCAATTGTGGTTCCCAAGAGAGAAAGAGAGGGAGGAACTAATGACTCTGTATGCTTTTCTAACAGGTAAAGTTTGCTGTAACAATTGTCTGCTTAACGCTTGTCCCTTTGCCACCAAATATAGAAACCCAATCCAGTTAAATTCCACAGAGATTCACAGTGTCACAAAACTGCAGAGGTCAGAAGGCACCTCCAGAGATCATTGAGTGCAATCTCCCACTAAGGCCTGTTTCCTACAGAAGGTCATGCAGGTAAGCATCAGTTGTGATTTCAGCAAGCCAAACGCAAGCAGAGACAAATGAGGTTCACTAAATTAATGGAGAGACTTCACCAACAAAGAAACAAGCTTACAAAAGTCATAAAATTTCATCTTATTTTTGTAGATAGATACATACATCTTTTGTAAAGAATTCATATATTATCAGAATCAAGCTTACTAGGATTGCCAGACTTTTAACTGAAGTTGTGAAGTTACAGTGTCTAAGACTTGATGCTCCAACTGAAGCTATGACAGTGGAGATC